GGCACGCCGTAGTGTCGAAGAAGCTTCCATAGTGTCGTCCTGTCCACGCTATCAAATGCCTTCTCGTAGTCAATGAAGTTGATGTAGATATTGATGTTGATATTCCATTAATTGTTCCGCAATGATCCGTAGAGTTGCGATTTGGTCCGTACACGATCAATCCTTACGGAATCCAACCTGTTGGTCTCAAAGTTGAGCGTCCACGGAGTCCTTCATTCTGTTTAACGATACCCTGTTGAGGACTTTTCCTGGTATTGAGAGAAGAGTGATGCCCCTGTAGTTATCACACTTGCTGAGATCGCCTTTCTTTAGTATCTTGATCAGAAGTTCTTCTTACCAGTCTGTTGGTACTTGTTCTTCATCCCAAATCTTACTGAAGAGAATGGAGCATCTCTGCAGTTGCTGCTACATCTGCTTTCAATGCCTCTGCTGGAATGTTGTCTGGTCCCGCTGCTTTGCCACTCTTGACTTGTCTGATGGCCATGCTGATCTCTTCAATTGTTGGTGATCTAACATCGATTGGGAGGTCTGTGGGTGCTGCTTCGATGTTGGGTGGGTTCAGTGGTGTAGATCGATTCAAGAGTTCTTTGAAGTGTTCTACCCATCTGTCCCGTTGTTCTTCAATATTGGTGATTACCTTACCTTCCTTGCTTTCCACTGGTCGTTCTTTGTTGTACCATACAACTGTCTCATGTTTCCTTCTTGCTGGGATATTCACAAAATTGTATTGAGTCTAATTCTATCTCGAACGTAAAGTGGTATATTTTCACATGTTTTCAGACTCTTCACATATTTCACATGTCGTTTCTTATTGGTCAATATTTACAGTTTTCCTAACTATAAATTCCACGTGTCGTTTTCCTATTGGTTAATATTCAGGGTCATCCTAACTGTTTAAATATGCATTGTCTGTAAATTATTTTTGTTCCGCTTCTGACCCCATAAACGATTCTCATTTGACGGTTTTTCTGATTTATTGGAGTTCGCGGAACAGTATTGGGGTCGTACAGGGATATCTGAAGTTGGTCAATCCGTAGAATTTCGACTAGTCCTATTGCAATACACAATATTTGGCGACGGAGATTTAGCAAACGAGTTGGTGATTAGCTATGGGTCCAGTCAAATTAGAAGAATTGTTCAAACAACAGCTGAAGCTGATGGAGATGCTTACTCAGGTGCAGGTCTCTTCTCGAGTCTCATGTACACCAACAATCCCTCAATCAGTCGACTGTATTACCAGTGGTATTTCAGACTTTCTTTATGATCCTGATGCCAGTATTACGTCTGATACCTGGTTCAGACGTTATGAAGATCTTTTAAAAGTCGACCTTACTGACAGAGATGATTCGTGGAAGGTGTCTTCTCCTTCGAAAACTTGGTCCATCAGAGCTTGATAAGTATTGCAACTTCATTCTACCGCAGAACCCACGAGACCGTTCCTTCGATGCCACTGTTCAATCACTCAGCTAACTTTTTGGTGATCATCATTCACTCTTCAATACTCGTTATCGCTGCTTAAAACTGGTCATGAATAAGTCCGATGACTTCTTGACCCATGTTGGCGTTGTCAGCCATGTGTGTGAACGGTTCAAGCTCAAATCCCTTACCGACGACCGATTCAAATCCCTCGTATTCATATTCAGTCTTCAACCACCCAAATTCTCTGACATCAGAACTCGATTGCTTAACCTCCTTGAACAAGACCCAACACTGACACTTAAGGTGATCACCGACGAGTATCAATGCATTATCACCCTTGAGCGTGACATCACTTTGGTTCAATCTGGGGGCCAGGGTGGTTCCGAAGTTCACGCTGTTCACCATCAAAACAAATCTCCTAGATTGACAACCTGTGGTCTTTCGAAAGCCACTGCTGTTTCTCTAATCACTCCAGACCGGCTCAGAAGGAGCCCCCCGCCATGTTGGCTGCACCAATTGTGGTTGTTAGAAAGTCCAATGGTTCCATACGCATCTGTGCAGACTTCTCCACGGGACTTAACGCGGCACTACAACAGCATCATTATCCGCTGCCGATCCCAGATGACTTATTTACTATTTTAAATGGTGGTACCTACTTTGCTAAGCTAGATCTCGCGGATGCTTACCTTCAAATTCCTGTCGCTCCTTGTTGGGATGATCCTGCAAATTTCTCGCAATCGACATGACAAGTTCAGGAAAAATTAAGAAGCATTTTATCCAATCAGCGTTTGATTAGAAGTCTTGCTAGAAATATTGCGAAAATGAAAAGTCACATGTAGAGCTTCTGATTGGCTGATTAATACACTGCTACTATGTGTACTAGTATTCTAAAATTTTCAGGAAAACCCAAGGACTTCAAAAATACTATAAAAACCCTATATTTCCTGTACATAAATGAACCTTTGGAGTAAAGTGCTTCTCGTATATTTTGTGCCTTTTCTCTCGTGTTCAATTCGCTGTGTAGTTCTAGCTTGGGGGTACAATACTAGCTTAGGATCCGAATAGTAGCGTTCAATCAGTAAGACGTATCAGTGGCGACGGGAAAAACTACAATGAGTATTTCTTTTGAGCAACTAGAAGCTTATATGGAGCGCCAATAAAAACGGTTTGAACAGTCTCAAATCAGAATCATGGAAGTCCTTATGCATGTCCCAACAAAACTCTGCTGCTGGTGAATTTCAAGTATGTCATACTGATTCAGTTATTAATGCAATCCATGAATTTAATTTTGATGGTGCAGCAGGTGTCACTTTTAACTCTTGGTTTAAGAAGTATGAAGATTTGTTCCGTATTGATCTCTGCAGACTCGATGACGCTTCAAAAGTCAGAATACTTCTAAGAAAGCTTGGGACAACAGAACATGAACGCTATAGTAACTTTATTCTTCCGAAGAACCTACGAGACTTTAGTTTTGATGAAACAATTCAAACCCTGTCTCAAATCTTTGGAGAACAGTCGTCTCTATTTAATATCCGTGCTTGAATTTATTATTGAATTATTATTGAATTTAGTATCCAGTGCTTGAAGATAACGAAAGAACCAGGAGATGACTGGGTGAAACATGCAGGTATTGTGAACCGAGAATGTGAGAGGTTCAAGTTGTCTTCCATGACTGAAGATCAGTTCAAATGACTAGTATTTGTCTGTAGCCTACTTTCACCTGAGGATGCTGACATCCGAACAAGAATCCTAAGCAAACTTGAACATTGTCCCAACATGACCCTGCAGGAAGTAACTACTAAATGTCGAAGGTTAGTGAATTTGAAGCATGATACCTCGATGGTAGAAAATGCCAAACAGTTTCTCCACGTTGATGCTGTCGAGAGAAAAGTCTTACAAGGTTCCAGCATACAGAATTATCGTAACGGCAGCGGCAAACCATCATCCCCATGCTGGTTATGTGCAGTTGGCATTTCAAAAGGTTTTGCCCGTTTGAAAGTCATCGTTGTACTATGTGTTCCAGGAAAGGACACGAAGAAAGTCATTACAAAACCCGGAAACGCCGTCAACCTAAAGTTTATTCTAAAAGTTTCAAGCCACGTACAGCCAAAGTGACGGTAGCTGCTAACAGAACCGGCTCCCATAATCGTAGAAAGTATGTTTCCCTCAAGATTAACGGGTATGATGCCCACTTACAGCTAGACACAGCCTCCGATATAACACTCATAAGCAGGAGGACGTTGGAGAAAATTGGGAGACCGAGAATATATTTAACTTATCAATCGGCACACAGCGCATCTGGGGGATTTCTAAACATTGCTGGTGAGGTTCACTAGTCACGAGGATCCCAACCGAGTAGTCTGCATCTACCAACATGGCTCAGACTAGAAGTTAGTGATTTCAAGCACTGATGTCACGTTTTGGTTTGACCGCTTCTAACTCTCTTCCAACCATCACCAATACTAGTCAGCATAGCGCGCCGTGGTAATCGGTGTTCAGGCATACTTAACACATGGCCAACCATCTCAGTCGATGAAGATTCATGATCTCATCAACTGATTTACCATCATTTCCTGATACCCTGCGTCTAACCTCACTATTACTTACCCGGTGATCCCAGCAGATGCGAGCAATATTTCTAAGGCATCTGTGGTCAAATACTAGTAAGTTACGATTATCTTCTACTCCTAATGGCCACGTTTCGCAGCTGTAAAGTAGAACAGAGCGAACTGCTGCTCAGTATAATTGTCCCTTAATTGATAGATGGATATTTCGTCTTCGCCAAAGGTGACGTAAGTTGGCAAAAGTCAAACGAGTTTTTTGGGTGATAGGTGTACTAGTTGTGGTAAGAATAATATGAGGTAGGTCAATGACTTGAGAAAAATAGGCGCTAGTAAAATTCACTGAAAATTATATAATTACGTAGTGAGAAGTGTTCAAATAATGGGTTAGTGGTGTATGTTTGGAAAAAGGGGGAAAGAAAAAAGGTATGTAAGATAATAGTCAATAAAATTGTTTATCAATGCAAATTCAGCTAAGGAAATGCTAGGGTGTTACGAATATCTTATGAATACTACGGCTTGAGTTGTTAGCTTGAGTCCCTATGGCTTCTGCTATATAAGAGGCGACATCGAACCCGAAAAGAAAGCTAGTAGGTATACCATAAATTACTTTAAATGATTTATTTCTATCTACTACATGACCTCTATCTACCTAATGTGACGGAACAGAGTTGCGTATTGCTTCGGTTATACTCTTTCCTTAACGACTAAGGAGGGTGATCACCAACTCGTTGGCTCAGTTTTCTGGTTGTACGCTCAATATAGCTTTCTCTACAGGAGCTACTGAAACTGTAGATACACTTGAATGTGGATTATAAACTAGCGTGATTTATGTGATAATTTTGTATATGCATTTGAGTATTCATGTATAGTACAATGGAGCCTGTTAAGGATCTAATTGAAAACAACATTGTTGCCTTATATATGTTGTTCTAATCTATGTTTGCTATTATTTTTTTTAAACTAGTCGCTTTTTGCAGGAACATTGTTATTATTATGTTATTTTAAAAAAAAACATAGGTTTGGCGTCGATCAACATTTCTACGTATGGGTTATAATGCTTTAATGCGAAAAGCATTAAAGAAAGAACAAGAAATACGTGATGATATGATTCGTTCATTAATGCCTAATCAAGTTGCACAAGAAGTAATGCGTGAAGTGGGCAATGAAAGTTCCATTGAATATGACACTAATGATGATGATGATGATCATAGGCGTTCAAACGACAAGAACAAAAATAAGCACAAAATGAATAAATCTAAGCAAAGTCATCAGAGAAAATTGAAAGATAAAAAATCACACAGTGAAGCAAATAGTATCAATTTAGGTGAAAATTTTAAAATTAGTGGACTCAGTTATATTGGTGATGAGGCAGATAGTGAAGATGAAGATGAAAGACAAACTCCAAAGAAAGCAAGTGTTGGGAGTAACTGTGAACAGCAACCTATACGACAAGGTTAGTTTCTTAAATAAGAAATAGGTTGATTTTCTTTTATAATGGAGACGTGCTCGTTTAGTGAATAGCATATCTCAAAATCACCAGGGGCAATGAGATAAAGTTATGTTTGGCTGAGTTATTATATGATTTTGCGTATAAGTTATTTTGGAACTGTTTCTCCTCCAAAAATTTTAATAACATAGAGTTTTACCCCACTGGTTTAATCATATGAGTTTCTCCCATTTCAAAAACTACATTTTCTGAGATTCGACACTCGGATAGTATTATTGAACCAATCACAATAAGTATGCCTCATAGTATAGTTCATGAGCCTCTGATTTGCAGTTCTTTTTCTCTCTTGTCGTCGTTTCTTGTTCTCTGATTTAATCGCACGTATATTATTAAACAATATATTAGTTACTATTATCTCGATCAACAATGGCTAGGGTTTAGTTAACACCGCTTGAAAAGGTGAGTGGTTACAGGGTTACCTTATTCAATTTTTTCCTAGCAAAATAAAGTTTTGACGTCCATACTTGGGGGACTTAAACAGATCTCTATGTATTGTTATTTGTTGTTATTATAAACTTTGATCAAGGAAAATCTAGATTTACTTCCTTTAATATTCATTTTTCAAATTTATTATTGATGATTCACCTTGTTTACTTCCCTAAGCACTTTTGAATGATTATCTAGTTGTCAAAGTACTTGGTTTTATGTTACTGGGTAACAGATTCTGACTTTCATTTTGGTCTGCTAGCCTTTATATCAAAAGCTTGACTTCAAGTCAAGTATAAATGTATACCCATACTTTATTGTTGCTCTACATAAAACGTTAGAAGTCTACTTTACTAAGTAGTATAATATTCAATATTGCCTTTTAGCAAGAAAATGACTTATTTCCGACCATATGATTCAAGGAGCAGTCCCGGTATTTTAAGAAACAATACTTGTGTCTTTGTAACTCTATATGGTTTGTATCAACTCTACTCATACTTTTCTGTAGTAAAAGTGAGACAGTACAACGTAATATGTAATTTGCCCACAAACCATACTCTGTTGAATATATTAGAGTGGACACATTACGATTTAGCCAATTATGTAGATAAGCAGAACAATTTGGAACCGCGAACAAAGGTTCAGGTCACCTTTGGCAGCTTGTAATACTTATCATACTGTTTAAGCGCTGGCTAACTAATACATCATAGCTACTTTTGTGTGTGACCAAGTGCTCGATGATCAGTACTTATTATTAGTACACTAGTTATATTAATTGTATGAACCGAGACTTAAATCTGGTGAGAAATGTACTAAGGATTTTTAATTTTGTGTTCAGATAGTTTAATAAAATCAATAATATTGTCCGAAAAGTTGAAAGGTATTTGGCTGTTGCAATCGGTTGTCAAAGTCAGTCACAATTGGAATATTCGGTCATTTCAACTTTATAAAAAAAATCAAATTGTAAATAAATTAACATTTTAGTTTCCGTTGCAGCACTATCTTCGTTCTTCAATTTGTCCTTTATTTGAATCGTATCTTTTAGAAATTAATAAACCAGTCTAGGTAATTTTATCATATTGTCTATGCTATTTTTCATTTCAGTCTATTCATTTAAAAAATAAAGCATTTTTATTTATTTATTTAAACATAAATATTGGTACAAAGAAACACCAGATATATATACGCCACACAAATCTCATTTGATTTGTGTGAGGGCTGTGATACCGCCCGGGTGCCCAAAATGAAGCAGGTGGTTTTCTTAGGGGACCACACCCGGAGCCTTTGACCTGAAGGTCTCATCTCCAAGGCAGTGGAGCATCGTGAGGAGATGCAGTCTCATGGTAGCCGGCGACCAACAATTGATTCATACACCATTTGTTCCTTCAGGATACTGGAATCCGTGTGCACCATTGGTTTGGAATCAGGGTTTTCCAACTCCCCTAAGTGAACTTTCTGTGTCCACCAACCCGGTTAAAGCGCCGGACATTCGCTTTTCGTCTTCTCACTTTCGTGAACAACACCCTCGCCACGAGAAGGCAGTGAGTAGGACTTCCATGGCAGAGGCTATATACGCGTGGCCATGTGATAGCATTTCGAGGAGGAGAGCGGAATCTCCTCACTCTCTGCTGTACCAGGGCATTTGGAGGCAAGTCAGCTATTTAACAGTTTTGCGTTTGTTGAAACTTTCCAGAGACGTCTCAAGTTACATTAGTTAGCTGTATAGTGTGTGCATGTATAAATTCCAACAAGTTGAAATTCACTGTTTATTCATATCTATTTAAATTACTTTATCTTCAGATGACTTAGAAATGGGTTTGGGCATTAGTGATGCTGGCAGTCCTTGTAGTCAAAAATGTAGCCTAATGCCTAAAGCAGCTGTTGTACCGCCATCGCGAGCTGTCGCATTTCGAAAGTTTCATGTGAATCAATTAGAAAATGTCAGTGTATTATTTGCTGATATTGTTGGTTTTACTAAAATGAGCTCGAATAAATCTGCATCACATCTTGTCTATCTATTAAATGATCTTTTTGGAAGGTAAGTTCACTGTTTTTTTCCATTTTTTTAAAGGGCAGAGACGATAAAAGTACAATTGACAAGCCTTCTAACTGAGCACTAGATTCGGTTTCTTAAGCACTCTAGTAACCCCCAGGCTAAATCTACACGGTAACTTGAACACGAGAGAAAAGGCGCGAAGTATGGAAGAAACGCTTTACGAACCTAAAGTCACGATTCTTAATCGTACTGGTTGAGGCGGTTGGTTCGTTCAATACGTCAAGCTAATTTTGATGTTCAGTCCACAGTTATGGATGTTGGACAGTTGGAGATGTAATAAGCAGGGCCTCATGTTCCTAGGTTTCACGCTAGTTCGCATTCAACCTTAGCTAATACCTTGGCGTGGTGGTCGGGCTTGTCTACCGTGATAACTCAACTGAGCTATATTGGCTGGAACGCATATCCCTTTAGGTTCCCATGCCAGGCAGGTCGGTTGGATAACAGTAAGACTAAAAGCAGCAGCTTAAGGCCCGAGGGCGAAGTCGTACTGCGGACTATAGAGGTATGTGACAACAGTACGATGTTACCCTCAGACAACCAGCATCTGCAGCGATACTGCCTTCCTACAACAGAAGGTAGGGATTAGAAAAGGTAGACCCTAAAAACGTTATATCTCACCTCATCCCACGGACTTCTGCCTCCATTGGTAAGTTGAGCGATATTCACTGCGAGGTAGCTTCGCATTATATCCAAAGAGCTGTGGAAACAGCAATTATATTTACTAGTAACTTAAATCAAAGGGTTAGGAAAAATGAGTAGATTTCAATGACGTCTATAAAATTGAAAGATGCTCATAAACTCATCCCATCTGGCTCCGAACACGATGAGCATCGGAGGCAGCTTGAACGTAAGTTAATCAAAAACCTACGTAATAATCGTGAGCAGTGGTGGATAGTGGAAGCAGAAGAGATGGAAGTGGCAGCGATAGGTAACAGTAAACAACTGTTCAGAATTATTGAGGAAACGTGTGTTAAAAATCCGGCTGTTGGTGAAGCCATCTCGGAAAAAGACGGGACTATTATTCACTCCCGGTCCAGGAAATTGAACTGATGGGCAGAACACTACAGTTCAACTAGCCCTCAACCCTACATTGTTACCTATTATCTCCAAGCAACCTAAATGACAAGCTGACATAAGTCCTCCAACTCTTAATGAGGTTGAAAATGATGTAAGTAATCTAAAGCAAGGGAGAATAGCGTGGCCTGATGGACTAATACCTGAGATTTTTAAAGATTGTGATCCAGTTTCAGCAGTTAGATTGAAGGAAATCCTAGCTGAAACCTGGAAACTGTATGTAATCCTATCTGACTGGTCTCGATCACTGATCGTCCTAGTTTATAAGAAAAGATGAAAATCTTGTGACAATCACAGATGTTAGAGGAATATAGATTAGATTAAAGCGTGTTCGGTGCAGGATTGTGTTGGGGTACGCTGATTGGCCATTTCTCAACTAATCAGCGCTAGCGGATACTTGGAGAAGACTCTGAAGTCCTATGTAAAAATTACAACTATACTAATGTTTTTCTTGTGATTTCTACTTCCGTTCAACCTTGTTTATTTGGGATATAATTACGTTTCTGTTCAACCCTGTCCTGATTTAGGAACTTGTCGGCCGAAGTAGTGTCCGAGATTACTATGCAGTAGGAGTAACTGGGTCGTAACAAGAGAAGTCACAACAACAGAGGAATCAGTTTAACTAATATAGTGTCTAAAATATTAGCCTCAATAATACTTCGACATCTAACTAGAGCTTGTGAAGAGCGAACCTAAGAAAAACGAGCTGGTTTCAGACCTGGACGTGGATGTATTGGCCAAATATTCACCCTTCGGCAGGTTCTGGAAAATGGACATACTTTTCAATGTCCGACTACAGTTGCAGTCCTTGACCTTAAGGCGGCGTTTGACTCTGTTAATCGTGAGGTTCTGTGATAATATCTGTCATTGAAAGGCATACGAAAGAGGCACGTTAACCTTGTACAGGCTCTCCACACGAACACTACTGGTCGAGTCAGAGCTTATGGCGAACTGTCATCGGAATTAGTTACCTCAAAAGGTGTTCGTCAGGGTTGTTCGCTTTCCCCACTTTTATTTAACCTTATCGTAGAAATGCTCTTAAAGATAACACTTATCGTTTGACTTTTCAGAGGCTGATTTTCTATTAGGGGATTCACCTGTTGACTTAGGGTACTTAGATGATACAGTTCTGCTCGGCGTAGACGCTGACAAAATACCACCTTAAGCAGTCATGCAAGCATATTTAGGGCGCAGTTCTTTCTTCATAAATGCAAAATGTCTCTTCAGGATTATTTTGGGTCGGGGCCTGAATTAACAATAAGGAGTAAAGTAGCTGGACATATCGACCTCCTCACTTATCTTGAGAGTTCCATCAGTCACTATGGTGCCTGATGAGATCTCGTCCCAGACTCAGAAGGCTCTATAAGCTTTTGCCAATTTTTATCACTTGTGGCCTAGGTAAGGCATCTGCCTGCCAGTTAAAGAACGAGTCGGATGCTCAGCAGCCCGCTCCGTTCTACTTCATGGGTGTGAAACATGGCCATTTAGAATAGAGGATATTCGTAGGTTAATAGTATTCGATCACAGACTTCTCCGAAGCATTACTCGTGTATTTTGAGATCACGGAGTAAGCAATTCCTGTATTAGGAATGGGGTACTAGATAACGATAGCAAAGCGATTGAAAAGGTGTTAAATCTTCATCAACCGAGGTGTTTGGGACATTTGTTACGCATCACCAACCATCGCCTAATTCGACTGGTGGTGTTATGTGGTGTAGGAATATGGTGGAAGAAAATTAAGGGCATCACCAGTCCATAAGGTCATTTACAGTTAGACTAAGCCATGTTAGTTGGAGCAAACTATTTGGTTGAGGTCCGCGTGATTATCGTAACCAATGGTTAAAGACTATGAACGACGTGGCTGAAAATCACTTGCAATGGTGCGGGTGCATCCATCCTTTGTCTCTTCCCAATTTCTTCGATTCTGAGTTACTCACAACTACTCTTGTGCCTTTATCTTACTAATTCATATCTTCTTTTGAAATCGTATCTTTGATCCTTAGTTTTTTGAATCACCACTGATACTGCTACTACCCCTACTATTCTGCGATTCGATATGACAATTCCATCTCTCTGTGCCAATGGGAAATGGTAACTTGAACCGATGTATATATGTACCAGGTTCTACTTTGTGATTAACCGAATTGGCACCCATTAGGAATGTATATTTACAATTTCAAGATAACCATAATCATTTGGTGAACTATTTCTGTTCCGACTAAATGGCGTAGTTTTGATTAAAGAATATTTTGTCGTAGAGTGTCATTTAACAAGCAATAAGGTCTGATTGTCAGGTCTTCATGTCTGTGGTGTATGAGAAAATTGATTCATCAGGTACTTGGATATAAGCCGCACACTAAATATGGAGCTTATGGTACTGTCCGGTTGCCCAAACCGCACTATGTGTAACGCCGCGGTGTAGGATATGTAATCATGTTTAATTTTGTGCGTAAGTTTGTCCTTGACTCTGAAAGAAACCAAACCTACAGGCAGTTTCATTACTTTTTGATACCAGTTCAGAGAGAGAACTTAATCTAATTGTTCAGTTTTATGAACAGTCGTCAGTCTACCATGCCGTATCATTATTGTCTATCATTCGCCTGTCGGTATTCTGTTCATCAATTTACAGACAAAATATGTTCGTAATCAAGGTTTAATAAAAAGTATTCTCCTTAAGCGTTTGAGATAGTGTAGGTAAAGCAGTATTTGGGTTGTACTTCAAATTAATTGACGTGTTTTTGCACTTTCATGCTCTCTCAATTATATGAAATAGGGCTCCCAACTTGTGATCACTTGATTAATTATTCATTAACAGGTCACCGTTACTGATAACTTTTGTTAAGAGGGCCCGTTTTCTAATAAAAACTTGACTTTTAACTACTTTGTCACTTCAATTTTTATTTCATCCTGACTTTATGATATTTTGCATTCAGAGTAAGTGTACAAATTTATAACTGCAAACGTATCAGATGCTAATACTAACATGACATTTGTCGGTTTTATTATGTACATATCACGTTGAATGAGATATTTCTTACGGATTTTGATGTGATTATAATTGATATGTGGATTTCCAGCTATTTTTTCGTCTTCTACTACTGTAAATGATAGATTTGATCGTTTATGCGAACTTGTTGGTTGTGAGAAAATAGCCACTCTTGGTGATTGTTATTATTGCGTTTCTGGTTGTCCGAATCCAACCGAAGATCATGCTGAGCGAACAGTGGAAATGGGTAGAGCAATGTGTTTAGCTATCCAACAATTTGATGAAGATCATTCAGAGGAAGTAAGTGAAAGGATATATATATATATATATATATATATAAGTTTAATCAAGCTCATGATATCTTTTGTCTAGTTTTACCCCATGTCTATAACATTAATGTTTATTTATTAGTTTACTCAGTTCAGCTTCCTTTAACTGATCGATCAGAAGCTTTTGATACAGAAAATTATACAATTCGTCGGATCTACATTAAAGAAAACTGTTAGCTTTGGTATGATTATTCTGCAGTCGTTCATAACCGGCTTCTATTTATTCCAATTAGTTCTCAGTGTTGGTAAATTGTTTTGAGTGCAGAGCTTTTGTCTGAGAAAATGTAAATAGTCCCATACTTGTTTCACAGGTTGTCTGTTAAACGTCTTACATCAAGTTAACCGATAGTGGTGGATGTCCGATTATATTTCTAATCAAAATCTAGTTTTTTTTTACCCAGTCAACCAGTCAGTCATCATCAAAATGAAATCTGGGACATGTGTGTTGACCCAAGTTGATGTACTATGTTAGCACAATGAGGTGATATTAACGGGATAGGAACAATGTGGAAGCAGTGGCAGTTAAAAAGACTAAGCACTGAGAATAAGGTTCGAAAATACAGTGTATGTGATAGAATTCAATATCGAAAGATAGAGTAAAAGCATTTGTGCCATTATAAACGATTCTGAGTCATGTTACCCCAAGTCTTCCAACCACTGGTTATCGTGCGACTCTAAACAGATAGTTTGTATCTACTAACATGTTTCTTACAGTCATTGACTTCATGAACTGATACCACGTCTTAATTCGGGCTTCCCATCTTTCTTTCAGTCTGCTCCCACATTAGATGTCACCTGTCTTTCTAAGCGATGATTAGATTTACGTAACACTCGTTCTAACCACTATCGGTACAAATCTATCACCTCGTTAACCGATTTTCTACCTCTGCATAGTGCCTATGTTCTAACCTCAACATTTTCACTCGGTTGATTTGATGAAAAGCTGACAGCGCTTCAAAGATAGTTATGATCAAAGACCTGCAGCTTATCCATGTTTCCTAGTTCAGTGGACTATTTTTCACAGTCAAAAAGTTATAGAAAATACTTCTGCGCAGGATTCGGGTTTAGATAACTAGCTTATATGCCTAAATACATCACTATTAATGGATTAGGAGCTCAGTGGTTCAGACATCCGAAACCCAACCACCAAATCGTAGGCTTGAACCCCGGTCCATCCATTTCGATTGGGTCAGGATCACTAGGATTTTCACAATTAGAAGATAGCTAGAAGCCAAATACTCAAATCTTTGCCTAGCAAATGAGCTGATGAAAAAATACAAAAAAAATTGTAGCTCAAGCACAAACATTTATAACTCCTCTAGTGTTACGGATCGATTCACTAACTGATCAAAAAATTAGTTTTACGTGCGTATGTTGAAGAATATCACAATGTTGTGGTTTCCTTGTGGAACGAAAAGGGGTTTTTTTCTGTTACAGGTTTTCCCCTCGCTTCTGTAGATTCTAATCCAGATGGAACCATGCATGAAGTCTGTCATTAGTGAGCTAGCTTGATGTAAAATGTTATGATGGTGTTTATCTCCTTGCAGTACGTATTCCAATACACAGATACAGAAAAAAACCGTTTACATATTTAGGAAATTCTTAATCACAAGTTGGATATTACGTACCACTAATCGCTGGTCTGTTCAAAATGCAATCTGTCCAGAACAGTAATAACTTCTATATACCTTTCTTCACAACGGTCGGACTCAAGTGCATCGTATTCTAATTAGCCGTGGGTAGTATACGGATGATATATAGAAAACTAACATCTTTTGATGGAGGATATTCCTGTGAATTGTAATAATATTTTTGATGATGAAGTGAGTTGTTTAATCTTCGTCAACAAATTCCACCTACACAACTAAATTTATATCAGTAAATTAATTGTCCCTGTCACTTTTAGGCTGCAGGTTTAAAAACCCCTTACGACTTTGCCCATCATTCGTAGGGTAGCTATCAAGTAGTGTCACTAGCTCTGATTCTCTCATCCGGTCACACAGAGAGAGAGAGAAATACAAAGAATGCAATTACAAGCTGAGTCAGTCAGTCAGCTACAATGTAGGACCAGGTACATATATGCATCGGTCCAAGTTGCCATACTTGATTAACACAACATGATGAACACCGAATTCATAGTAGTTAATTTAGTGGAGGTAATATATAAAGGAAAGATTGTATGTAAGGATATAGTACAGGAAGGAAGAGAGATATGAAGCAATTTTAATCTCAAGGTTTAAGGGGAGATAAAGAGTGTATACACTCGCGCCATTGTGGTCGATTCTGAGCCATGTCACCTCGAGTCTCCAACCATTGGTTACGATAGTCACGCGGATCCCAACCGAGTAGTCTGCATCTACCAACATGGCTCAGACTAGAAGTTAGTGATTTCAAGCACTGATGTCACGTTTTGGTTTGACCGCTTCTAACTCTCTTCCAATCATTACCAATACTAGTCAGCATAGCGCGTCGTGGTAATCGGTGTTCAGGCATACTTAACACATGGCCAACCATCTCAGTCGATGAAGATTCATGATCTCATCAACTGATTTACCATCATTTCCTGATACCCTGCGTCTAACCTCACTATTACTTACCCGGTGATCCCAGCAGATGCGAGCAATATTTCTAAGGCATCTGTGGTCAAATACTAGTAAATTACGATTATCTTCTACTCCTAATGGCCACGTTTCGCAGCCGTAAAGTAGAACAGAGCGAACTGCTGCTCAGTATAATTGTCCCTTAATTGATAGATGGATATTTCGTCTTCGCCAAAGGTGACGTAAGTTGGCAAAAGTCAAACGAGCTTTTATAATCCATGCAGAGATTTCGTCAGACACCATCCCATTAGGGCTCATCAGATTTCCAGGACAAGTTAAGATGTCGACGCGTTCGACTACTTCCAACCTGAACACTCTCGTAAGTGGATGACGTCGAAAGGAATGGGGAATGATTGTGAAAGGATATTACTTTTAGACTTAGATAGTTTTTAGTAGTCAGTATAGATTGTTGTGTATTGTAGTATGTCGATTGTTTTGTAATGCCTCTCCTAATGTTCTTTTAGAAAGAAAGAAAACCATCACAAAATCATGCATTTTGTGATTTTTTAGTCTTTATATGATCATTCCATGTTTGTCATCGTTACCATATTGTAAATAGTGTGTTCTGGGTCGTAGTTTTATCCAAGATATCCACGTTGTACTACATTGTTTTCTATATCCGTTCAGTCTTTGGTATACACTTGAGGACGTCAACCAAAGCGTATTCAATCATACTATTTTTATGATTAATGTAAATTCAAGTCAGTATTGAACATCTGACCATGTTTCCATTATGAATATACTTTTTGTTACCATCTTTTTCATTTAATTTTGCTATTCACCTATTTCATTTTGGAGGACGAAGACAAATCTATTGATTTTGTTAATCCTCCTGTTCTTCTTGTCTGCATCTTTTCGTTACTGCTGTCATACAAGGACAATCATTTTGAACTACTTAATCTAGGCAAAAAAGGACGAATATCTTGATAGAGGTGGGAACCGTACTGAGAATACACAGGTTATTTTATTATTAATTTAAGAAAACGCGTGAAATTTCTGATAGACAATAGCTTTAGAGGAATAGTGTTTCAATGGTGAATGAGCTCAACTATTACACCAACTAGTTGATTACATATTGCAACTGAAATTATGTCTCATCATTTCCATACAAACCTGATATATAGTTCATGGTTAAAGATGTAACTAATTGGCGTTTTAGTACACCAAATTAATCTTTCGAATCATGGGTTCGAGTTCTACTCTGTCTACATCCTAATCTAGGTGTACAGTTTAGTAGAAATATATATCACCTAACAAATAATACACGTACCATAGCATTGCCTGCAAATAATGAAAATTTTTTAATTGTATAACGTCTAATGTCTTCACTCGGTCAAAAGGTGACTAAAGGCTCTAAATAGTCAGACATCCAATATAAAACCTTGTTATATCTTGTGGCCGAGTGGATGCCTAGTTAATGTATGACGTAATAAGAGAGCAGAGAATTATCGATTGGAACAGTGACACACGAAAACCGTACGAGCAGTCTAGAGCGCCTATCGATCCTGCTTCTGCCTAGCCCAGTCCGTTGAGTCCAAAACACCAATAAAAGCCTCTGTGGTATGAATCCTTGTATTTCAAACATACTGAGTTTATATACCAAATAGACTGACCACATCGTACCAATAAAATAGAAAACAACATTTTTACAAGAGTTAGCCGAATGTGGCTGTGAATAGGGGAGCAGTAATTAATAGACTGGGTATAACTCAGGAATGGTAAATCGTACAATAATAGTCCAAGCATCAAAATAAAGCTCACAATGAAAGGAACATGAATATGAGTGTCGCGATGGCCGAGTGGTTAAGGCGTTGGACTAGAAAACCAATGGGGTTTCCCCGCACAGATTCAAATCCTGCTCGCGACGGAATTTGCTCCCAAATGCCCTGGTACGGCCGAGAGTGGGGAGAGTCCGCTCTCCCTCTCGAAATGCTCTCACATGGCCAGCGAATATATAGCCTCTGCCATGAAAGTCCTACTCACTGCCTTCTCGTGGCGAGGGTGTTGTTTACGAAAGTGAGAGGACGAAAAGCGAATGTCCGGCGCTTTAACCGGGTTGGTGGACACAGAAAGTTCACTTAGGGGAGTTGGAAAACCCTGATTCCAAACCAATGTTGCACACGGATTCCAGTATCCTGAAGGAACAAATGGTGTATGAATCAATTGTTGGTCGCCGGCTACCATGAGACTGCATCTCCTCACGATGCTCCACTGCCTTGGAGGTGAGACCTTCAGGTCAAAGGCTCCGGGTGTGGTCCCCTAAGAAAACCACCTGCTTCATTTTGGGCACCCGGGCGGTATCACAGCCCTCACACAAATCAAATGAGATTTGTGTGGCGTATATATATCTGGTGTTTCTTTGTACCAATATTTATGTGTTTAAGTAAAAATAAATAAATAAGTTTAATTATTTAGCAAATATACGATAAAAATTATATGCCTAATATTGTTCTATAAATGGACCCCAAGGTTACCATTCACAACTTTTTTTTCCCGACCGTTGCTGCTACCTTGACGTGCTGATCGGGCTTGCCTATCGCCATGAACCAATCGAGTTATACTGGCTGGAACAATCGTTCCTCAAGGTCCTACCATGCCAGACAGGTCGGTTGAAGAGCGGTAAGACTTAAAGCAGCAATCCCAAGGTCCGAAGGCGAAGTCGTACTGCCGACTGTACAGAGGTGTGACGGCAGTAAGGTGTTTCCTTCAGACAACCAGCATGACAGCTATGCTGCCTTCCCACAAGGAGGGATGGGTTTAGAAAAAGTCGACCCTAAAAATGCACACCTCGCCTTATCCCGCGGATTTCTGTCTCCGGCGGAAAGGTTCTTTGAGGAACGGAGCTAGCACTTCAAAAATCCCCTACAAAAAGGCCGTGCGTGACCGGCCTGAAGCAGTCGTCCCTTGGGCACTGCGGTCACGCTCCGAGGTCGTTTAGACCAACCGTAATCCAACTTCTTTTTCAGGTCCCTCAAGAAACACCCTTCCACGGTGTGGGCAGCCGGGAAGTGATATTGGCCCTCATACCCGTAACAGCACACGAGAGCAAGTTGGTCACTTTCAAATCCTTCCTACACCTAATATCTCCACGACTAACGCTTCTCATGTCCTTTTATCACCTCGCACCGCTAGGGCTAACGATTAAAGTACATGGAACGTTTTACCTGGTCTCCTGAAACCACGCTTTAAACTACATATAGGAACTTTTAATGTCCGAACATTGTGCCAAATAGGACAACAGGCTTCCTTAGCTAGGACTCTAGAATCTTACACCATCTATGTTTGCTGCGTCTCCGAAACGTGCATACAAGATCCGAGTATTGTCATTCATTTGACCTCACTATGTCATAATAAAGAACCATCTCGATACACGCTTCGTGTATCTGGAAGCCCTGATGCTGTTTCCCGTGGCCTCGCTGGAGTAGGTATAGCATTAAGTCCTAGGGCAGAACTAGCTCTTTTAGACTGGATCCCAGTAGACAGTCGTCTATGCTCTGTCCGACTAAACAGATCAGTAAGGACTCGGAAAGATAGGGAAACTCGTTGTTGCCTCTTCGTCGTCTCTGCCTACTCTCCCACTGACTGCAGCTCAGACGATATAAAAGATGAGTTTTACATGAAACTTTCTGACCTTCTCCGAAAAGCTAGGCGTTCTGATGTAGTAATAGTGCTTGGTGACTTTAATGCTCAAGTAGGTAAACTAAGTGAAAGGGAAAGACATCTGGGAGGATCTTTTGGTGTCGTGGCTAAAAGGACAGATAATGGCAACCGTCTGTTGCAGCTGTGCTCAGATAACCGCCTATTTCTTGCAAATGCTAACATCTTTTGACATGGCGACCCTGGAATTCGTCCCAACGTTGGACCCAATTAGATCATATCGCTATCAGCCACCGATGGAGGGGCTCGATAGAAGACTGTCGCTCATTCTAGAGCACATTTTTAGACTCAGATCATGCTCTAGTGCGAGCTCGTATCTATCTGCGTCTTACTGGACGTAGGAAAGACACTGCAGGGAAGCCTCTAAGGGTTCTACTTAATGATAGGCAAGCTAAGAATATATTTCAGGAACAACTGGAAAAAACAGTTAGACAGACATGTAAGTTGTACCCACCCCGAAGCAGCGTGGAATGACATCCCGAAAAGCTGTGGGAACAGCAGTGATAACCGCTAGTAAGGTAAACCATAAGGTCAGGGAGAAACAATGGATCTCAGCAGCATCTACCGCACTGATAGATGCTCGAAAACTCATCCCACCTGACTCTGAACATAACGAAAAGCGGAGTCAGCTTAAGCGCAGGCTAATAAGAAGCCTACGCAATGATCGTGAACAGTGGTGGGTAGCGAAAGCCAGAGAGATGGAAAAGGCAGCGGCAATAGGTAAAAGCAGACAACTATTCAGACTTATTAAAGAAACCGGCATTAGGAACCCAAAGAAATAGTTTTATGAACATACCAAATAGCGACTCAAGGATGTTTCCAATGTTTTTCTTGCTTCAAAAACAATTTCTTTTAATACCCAGTCTCACCGTAGAAACCGCAGTAGTTGCCCACTTTCCTACTCTTGTAAGTCTCTTCAGCCTCGGTAGGTTGGTTCACGACATATACTACTTATGTCGATATAAGTAGCACACACCGCAGTATCTTTATATTAGAGGCGATATCATGATTCCATAATGATAATCATCCGTATATAACTGAATTCACGAATAACTAGAATTTGATATATTTGACAAATTCAAACTCTAATCGATTCTTTTCTTAAGGAAATTACCACACTATATTGTCGTAATCATTATTAATAAGTATATTCTTACTCTTTGTTGGTTTACTTTTTACTTCTTGTGTTGTAGTTATTTTGCGTTAAGACATTGAATAGTGTTGTATTTTGTCATGAGTATAGAGGGGAGAATAACAAGTAAGAAATCTTCCTACAAGTCATATCATCAGCATCTTTTATTAACGAAGCCAATACTTAGTCATTGTTTGTCGTTAACAATGCCCCTTTATAAACGAAATTCGCGCTGCAGTTTTTATTATTAACCCTTAGGTTGTTTATGTATGGTTGAAGAAGTTCAACTCTTTGTCATGCAAGATAATTTTAAGTTCCAGCTAAACTATATCATTAGTTTAGAAAAATAGAAGAATTAATCTCTCTTCAAATTCACGGACGTATAGTAACTTTGAAATCTAAAAAGCCATAGTTTCTAATGAATTTACTTTTTGTTTACGCGGTGAGTAATTATTTAAACGATTGTCTTATAACGTTTTTATACATATCCCTGATTCTAAACTCTTTTTTGACTCATTAATTTTTATATTATTTTGCATTTTAGAACTAAAATCATTTTTTCATCATGATATATTCTAGTTATCTATGCATTGAGATTTTTAGATTACAGTGTATTATGATGTGGTAATTTGTTTGTACAATCAAATGAACAGTACTTTGTTTTTGAACGCTTATTTGAGATTTTACAGTTTTGATTTGAAGACCTAAGCAAGTGAAAATTACTTTGCCTTATCGATCGTCACGGGTTGTCTGCATTTATTTTTAGTGGTATGGAATATGTGATCGATTCGACTCTACTGTGAACGTGTGTTGATGTTTGTTACTTCATGCATTAATAAGCCGTTGAGTAACAGTGACCAATATATTGCTTGTTCAATCAAATTCTATCGATCAATTTGCTATATTGCTTTTAATCTTGGCGAGGCCAGTCACTGCTCGAATAGCTCAGTAGTAATGTACCTGACTGTAATGTTATGTTACATTTCACAATTCGTTACTCTCCTTTATATTAAATATATGCCCTACTGATTTGTGCCAAATAATGCATAGCCTAGGTCTAAAAGGATTTCCCATCAGTTGTCTTCATATTTCATTGCTACTTGTTTAAAATAGGCACTACTGAGTTTTCACTATATATTTATTATTACAGGTGAATATGCGTGTCGGTGTACACACTGGTAAAGTGATCTGTGGTATCGTCGGAACAAGACGCTTTAAATTTGATGTTTGGTCAAATGATGTTACATTAGCTAATGAAATGGAGTCTAGTGGTGAAGCGGGAAAAGTGCACATTTCTGAGGCTACTTTAAGTTTTGTAAAAGATATTTATGAAGTTTCTGAAGGAAAACCTGTTCATGGTCAGTTGTGTTTTGCCTACACGTAATTATGCTTTTTCTTTTGTCTTTCCAATACATCCTGTTTTACTTTTGAATTATGATAGTCTATTAATCTTAATTTCGGAGGATTAGTGTGGGATAACATATGTTGAGACTATCTGATAATAAGGCATAATAAAAGCCTTCATTTTGACTTTGAGTAAGGAAAAGCTATCAGCAAATAGTTGAGAGTCACGCATACGGTTTATTTTTCACCTTGAAGAAACTAACGTGTTTTCCAGCTTATTGATTCAAACTTTCGTGTTTATATTCATGAATTCGAACTATATTTTGTGTGTATGTAGTAGCTTGCGGTACTCACCCAGTGTTCCGACCAAATTACATTCAGAGAACACTCAGTCTTATTCTCAGTGGTTGAAGATAAAGTATCAGACCACTTCTTCGATTAAAACGTCCATTAATTATACATTCTTATCCATCTGTTTTAATTGCAATAGTAGTGTCAGCAGATGATTTTTTATTATCGAATCAAGTTGAGTTGATCCGCTGTTGTTAAAGTAAAGCTTGGCACAAATAAGCGTTCATTCAGGTTGCATAGTAGCATATAACTGTGGGATGTAGTTAATAAGATAAATGATAAACAAATCGAAATAATTGTAGTAGCAATGAAAATTAGAAAGACTGAACTTTAAGAACATGGTTCCAGAAGAAGGATTAAGAAGGGGTGTGTGAAGGAATACTGAAATTATCTAGATAAAAAGTGAATCCATCTGCTGCATTATGACATGTCCTGAACCATGTCTCCTAACGTTTCCAATTGCTGATCGCAATTATCACCCAAAACCCAACTATAGGTAGTCCGAATCCTATAACATGACCTAGATCAAGGTTCAGTGATTTCATAGGCCTTATTTTGACCATGCCTAACTTCCGATCTACTCCTGGCTAACAGCGCTCACCAAGGTGGGCGGTTGTTCAGGATGCGTAAAATACGCAACCACTGCAGTCATCAGAGATTCACCTCATTATCTGGTTTTTCATCACTTAATACCCACCCTATTCATAGCGTTAAGATTAATGTTTGATTTTATATGAACATGTTTGCTAATCACTTGGAAGCTTGGCTACAATTTTTGTGAATTTTAAATAAAAAACATCACTAGCCTCTACACTAGCCTCTTCAAGCACATAAATTTATGGCTTAAAACTGAGGAGACATAAACTTGTACTTGGTACGTTGCTACGTCATCTCTCTGTGATAACGGGGTATGACAACTAGGACTGATCTACATATGTACCAGATTCGAAGTTGAGAGTGACTGACTTGATAACTGAGTTACGTCACTGTTTCTAGGGTGGGATGCTGTTTCTACAATACGCATTATTATTATTATTAGCTTTATTCAATATTATATTATTTGGTACAAAATCGAATTCTCAGCATAAAGTATTTCAACATGTTTAAGTTTCTTATTTCTTCGTTGCTCCTGATGATAAACATTCAGTGATCGCCAGTTGGATGTCGGCAGTTCAGTCAATCGACATATGAATAATGTATATTCTTTTTGCTGCATGTTCCCAGCAAACACGACATCTCTGATTAGGCCTTTGGTAACCTTTACAGCGAAAGGTTGTACAGTTTTCAGAAACGCACCGGAATAGGTTGTGTGCTTAATAGCCATAATGATGTATTAAAACAAACAATATTAGATAACTTGTTGAAATATATAGATGACAGGAACAGGTAGCCCAGATGTTTAGACAGGCTGCCCTTGTTATTTGGTACAAAACTCTATAGGTATTAAATACAATACTATCTGGCACGTTAGTTTCGAAAGAATATTTTCTAAAACGTTGAATTTCACGTGTCTTATTTGTCACGGTCTCTTTTCACAAGTTTGATGTACAGGTTGAGCATTCACCTGGCATACACGTGGTGGTCGATCTTCGATGTTCTCCCTAAACTTCGTATATTGTTCGTCTTGATAACCGTTACTCGATAACGTCCTAACGGTGTATAAATCAGAAGGCGAATACGAAGGGATGATTTCGTTTATTACTGGACCACACACAGATATCTCAAAATTACAGACTCGTTAAGCAAGCAGGAAAGAGTGGTGCCGTGAAGCAGGCGAATGAGCGAGTACAGTAGTGTGCACAGGATTAAGATGTACGTATATACACAAAGCGAAAAGCATAAATCATCGAATCAATTAAGCGATTAATATAAGGCTAGCAGAATGAATACATGCGTAGGCAGAAAGCAATGCTCAAGCGTACATAATAAAGGTACAATAGTATAGATAGGTTGTTGTTGTACGAGTGACTGTCCGTTAAATAAGCTAACAAAAGGGCTTAACCAAATCAGATGTAAACCAAGTCAGTTGTATGTGAGCTGCTATATACATACATGTGTGAACATAATTTTTTAATAGAGGGAACGAACTTACAAAGTGACATTGATCGTAGAATAGACGCATGTGGTCCAATCATTCTCTTTATCCCAACAACCAATTGTTTTTGAGTGTTAGTTTTATGTTATTACTTGTCAGAAAAGTGTGATTTTCGAAAGTGTATTGTATTTCAGTCATCTGAATTGCAATTCTCTGAAACACACATGTTCATGTCTAGCTAGTGTACATATACGCTTATGCTTGTCGTAATAGGCATATATTCATGACATAACTTGTACTGCTCTTGATTTAGGGAAATCTATCATATAGCTTTTTTTTTCTACTTAGCATATAATTTTATGGAACTATGGTACATGTACATTCAGTAAATTAGAATCACAAACGATTAATCCTTCTTAAATAGGTTGATGTTCTAAAACTTTTGTACATAATCACCTGTGTGTAGTTTTTCATATCCTCACCTCTCTATTCGCTGAAGAAGTGACTTACACTGAGTCACGAAACGTCGAAAAAATTAATTTTTCTACTCGTTAGGAATTTACAAATATTTGAAAAATTCCCATATTGTGATTTAAAACAACATATATAAGCGAACAATATTGTTTTCGATTAGATCCTCATCAGGCTTTACTCTAATATACAGTAATATTTATATGCATATACGAAATTGTTAAACAAATCAAGGCAGTTTATGAGTGAATGATAACAGTGGAATAGATTACATAATCAAAATTAATAATAAGTGAAAAGTACAAATTGATAGTGTAATTCTTATCACAACTAGTACACCTGTCATTACACTATCAATTTGTACTTTTCACTTATCATTAATTTTGATTATGTAATCTATTCCACTGTTATCATTCACTCATAAACTGCCTTGATTTGTTTAACAATTTCGTATATGCATATAAATATTACTGTATATTAGAGTAAAGCCTGATGAGGATCTAATCGAAAACAATATTGTTCGCTTATTTACAAATATATCGTTTCTGTTAATAACAATCTAAGGAATGCTCAATTTATTTTGAATTATAATGTCAAACCTTGGTAATGACACCTACAAAATAGCCTCTGTTTTAAAGCTGTTTGTACTGAGTAGTAATACAATGTAGTAGTGATTCAATGTGATAAAGATCTCAAACGGAAGCACCACAATTGTTGACTTACTTTGCTTGTCTATCTTATAAAAAATCAAGAGACGACTGCACTATTTTTTATGTCTTAAATATGATGGATCGGAAAAAAATAGTTGTAGCAGCTAAACTGGTAGAAAACTTTTACGTTTGGACATCGATTATAGTTACTGTTATTTCAAAACATTCATAAAATGTTTTTTACTATTTTGAACTTAAGTTAGACAGAAATTTATTTATTTTTATGTTAATCATATTTCAATTCGGATGATGGTTGTTCAATAAATGTTGATTATTTTTGTAAGCATAATCTATTCACCCTTTTCATTTTCCATAGATATTCGAAAATTTAAAGTGTTAGTTGAATTTTTCAATAAAGAAGAACAATGTTTCGCCATTAAACATACTCAAGACGAAGCTAGTAAGTGAACTTAATCTTGTTTCCATAAAACATTTTCGCTTTTCCCTATTCTACTAACTTTTTTGATTTATAAATTGCTGGAGAACAACTCCAAAAACCAAGTAATAATTGGACAATCGTCTCAACTCTATAAGAACAATGTCTTCTCAGTAATTACTGTTGTCAGAATTGTGATATAATGTATAACCTATGGTACTAGATAATTATCTCACCTTATCGCTAACTGACTAAAATTGTAAATGTGTGCATACCTTTTGATTATTACTAAATTATTTTCAGGTAATGTGCTCATCGGGTAGACAGACCTCAAAGTTCTAGGATTGTTGTCTTATGGGATTGTAACATGACCCATCACTCCTGTTAATCTTTTGTGAACAATGGGATCGAACACCGTTTCTTCGACGATTTATAACGCCATATCAAACTAATAAGTCGAATATGAAGTTATTGTGAAGATCATACTTTAAGCGGGGTAGGCAAATGACCCGACCGGTGGCAAGTCAAAGGAGTGAATCTGCGTATTAGTAAGCGACTGTGTAAATAATGAAACCAGTCATCATAATCTTAATACATAACTAAATATGGGATTAGTCATTATGTGTGTACGTTGAGAAACATACATACAAAGGTTCACACGCATTATTTATACGCGTACACACAATTGACTATACAGAAATCAAAACAAAATTCTTAATTAGGTTCTTATGATACGTTTTAAATAATACATTACTTGATGTCAGTGCACGTTAGAAACAAAGTCGAAATCAACATTAATCCCCAAATTTAATTCAAACGACCAAGGAATAATTTATCTTAGAAAAAACCCTACTCATCATCTGTGCACCAATAGTATGCAGTTTTTTCTATAATAAATTTTACTTAATGTTATTATCGTTGATAAACAAATAACGTGATGTTTTATACTGCTTAATTAGTTCGTTCACTGTGGTTAAGTAAAGTCACGAATGTGTCTCCTTCAAACATCGTATCCTTGTATGGTTGACTCCTAGATGATGCATACTTTTTATTATTATAAAGTTTAATAATTCATTAAAAAATATTGGTGAATTTGAAATAATTCTGTTAGTATGTATTTCCATCTTACAATCCGATTCTTACCACTCTTATGTTATTTTTACTTTTTTAATAGTATAGAATTGTGGTCTAATTATTCATTAGTTTAGTTTGTATTCCATTTTTTAAATTGGATATCTGATTAAGATTAGTTATTATTTCTAATTTGTTGTTAGGTTAAGTGTTTTCTTACCCTCAAATATTCAACTGATATACATGCCATTGGAATCTCACTTAATCATCGTTTATAAGTGTTAGATTTGCTTTTCAGTACTATTGAAAAGACTGACAGAAGTTTATGGTTACACTCTGAAGTTACTCCTAGGTATGAGCGAATCAGACGATAATGGCATCATAATGCTTCAAGTGTGATATCCGGAAAACCGATAAAATGACAATAAGTCTCAGGAAATAGTATATTTGAACGGAAGCAGAGATAGATGAACGTGAGATGACTGCTGAGTTAAATATTTCAGTGAAGAAAAGTGTTTTGCGTCAATTATGCCTAGGATATGGTCATGATGTTAGATGAAGTCCCTTCAACTAGTGGTGCTTGTTAAAATAACGGAAATTAGCATCATTGTCGAACGAATATTGGAAGAGTTGAAATCTTCTAAACCACTTTTCGGATCATTATTATTAATCTACTAATTATTTTGGTTCGTGTTTGTTGGCACGTATACATCTTATGTGGATTGCTTCAATATAGTTATTTTGTCATAATTTTTATAGAATAGGTGGATTGTGGCTGACAGATTAATACAGAGCGCGCATTTCGTTCTATTTGGGACTAGCAAACTAAATGTATGTGCATCTCTTTATTGATGGTCATATAAGGACTTGGATCTAGTATCTTTCGTTTGAGGGATCCAATCCTTTAGGAAAGTTAGTAGCTATGTAAACTCATTAGCTTAGTGGAATTGCAATCCTCAGTTATAACTTATAAGGAAGGCAATCAATTTAACGTGAATGTATGATCAACTTTCAACAAATTCTCATTGGATTACTTTATGAACTTTAAGCACATTTTTATTATGATTTGTGTTTCGTGATAATGACTCAGTTCATAAATTTGAATCCTTGTTATTAATATATAACCGATTAACTAATCTATTTTTAGTTCTACTGAGGTCATCATTATCAGAGCTTCCTTTATGAAACTGAACTTCTTAATCTAGTTAGCGGGGCAGGGAAGAAGAAAAAGGTTATCTCATTCACTTTATTGAAGTCAAAGTTGTGAAATATTAGCTTAGTATATTGACGTATCTATAACATGTCGGGTGTTCGATGAGAAGGATTATTAAGTTTGAGTTCCGATATGAACACCAATACTCAGGTGCTGGTAGATCCATTTGACAAATCCCACCTAGGTGCTAAACACAGTCCATCCACATACACAAATTTATCTTCGTTTGTTTATTTCAAGTTTTTTTTTCATTCAGTTAGTTGTCACTATCTGTCCTTTTTTTCATGTTTTTCACATTGAACTATGTACGTGTGTTATATATCGTCTCTAATATGTAGAGAAACAGAGCACAATGAGTAAATTTAATAATCATAGTGTAAGCAGTTATTCGCCCAAATCTTTAAATGTAACAATCATTAGCTTCTAAGGAATATAGAAGCCGTCAAACACATATTTCTAATTTCTCATTCCTTTCTTCTCGTTGGTAATTGTCAATTTCGCTTTTTGCCGTGTATATGGGTTTCTTACGCGTAATATTTTTTATTGAAATGGGTGTTATCAACTAAAGTCCTTGACCTTCAGACATTAAGTTTGAATCACATATTTTCTTTGCTTTCTTTCGTATGTTGAAAGACGAGGTTTTAAATGGAAAAAAATAGTAGGGAAAATATAATATATTTTTTCACAATCTAGCTTGTTGATTCTTGTCTTTCATAATCACATCGATTAGCTAGATCTCGGGAACCCTTAAAAAGCCAAACATTTTAAATCTGGTCATACGTATGTTGGTAACGTGTTTGACAATAATTATCAAAATAATTGATTAGATTAACCACATCGCTTGTCTCAAGAAGCTCACCAGCTCCACTAGGTTAGTGGCTAAGGGTGAAAATACTGTATATCAATTTGTCCTGTATTATTTTACAACTGGGGATCTATGTAGATTGTCTTCAAACCATTGGAATCCTGAAGTTAAGTGTAAAGTACTCTGTAAATGTTGCAGATCAGTTGATGAGCTTATGATCTTTGGGAAATCATCCATTATTCCATTAATTCGCTATTCCAATTACCAACATACCAGAGATGCAGATGTGCTGGTGGACCTCTCAGAGACAAACATTCTATGGTTGAATGTTGTAGACGTATGGTTCAAAACTATTGCCAGAGGTACATTAGTGCCACTAACTAATGCCAGAGTTACCCCTAATCCGGCAGTACCCGAAGAAAATTAATGTTGGGATGATCCTGCAAATTTCTCGCAATCGACATGACAAGCTCATAAAACATTGAGGAGCATTTCATCCAATCAGCGTTTGATTAGAGGTTTTGTTGGAAACATAGCGAAATGAAAAGTCACATGTAGAGATTCTGATTGGCTGATTAATACACTGCTACTATGTGTAGTAGTATTCTAGCATTTTCAGTAAAACCCAAGGACTTTTAAAGTACTATAAAAACCCTATATTTTCTGTACATAAACGAACCTTTGGAGTAAAGTGCTTCCCGCATATTTTGTGCCTTTTCTCTTGTGTTCAAGTCGCTGTGTAGTTCTAGCTTGGGGGTACAATACTAGCTTAGGATCCGAATATAGCGTTCAATCTGCAAGACATATCAATTCACCAGCCGAGTGTATGTTCGAAAGGAAAATCCGGACAGTCTTTAACAATGTGTTGCCACCTAGGGAGACAAATAAACCCATGAATGAGTATCGGACGGTCACTCGTAGCTTCCAGGTGGGTAAATGGTACTTGCCAAATCGTATCAAGGTGATAGGAATTGGGAACCAGGTGTTATGTAACGTCAAATTGGAAGTGTACTGTACTCAATTCGGAGAAATGTCGGAACGTCTGTAAGACACCTAAATCAAATTCAAAGGGACGGCAGAACATTGATCCCACAAAGCCGACTCCCGTTTGAATTGCTCGCGGATTCATCTCGAAAAAGCCCTCAGAAGCGCGAATGTAGAAGATATAAAGACGCAAGGGCAAAGCGGTACAATCTTCAAGAACTGCAAGAGAAATGCGGTAACCAAGTTTCAGGTGGATCTGAGAAATGTCTTACTCGACAGACTTTAAAGGTGGGAAGTGTGAGGACAGTCCGCAGGTAAACTTGAGGATGCTCTAAGAAGTTCAAAAAGAGCCGAACCTATTCCATCCAATCAGCTTTTAAAAAAATATTCCAGAATCACTACATGTAGCTTCCCCATTGGACAAATGCCAATAACCTCCTGTGTGCGAATTGGATAATTTTAATGATGATTTCGTTTTTACTAAAAACTATAAATACCTGACAGTATTGTACAGTTATTGACACCATTTGGAATAACATTCCTTCCAGTTGTCTTCTGTCTTCTCATTTGAAGCTTGGGAAGGTTCTAGCGTTCGAGTGCTCAAGTTATACGCGGCATACTAAGAATTTAAGTTCTAGATTTAACACTAGTTCAAAATGATTCTAACTTGTCAAATTGATCTTGAAATGTGTGGTATCATTCGTCTATGTTTGTACATCCCTCGACTTGATTTACGTTCTCTGAACGAAATTACTACAAACAATGTGGTTTCATGTTTTTTCATCACGTTTAAATAGCATTACACATTATTTTATTAGTATTGAATTTAACTAAGCATCATGGTAAGAATGTGATAAATAGGAAAATCAAGTGAACATTGGATTCAAACTCAATTGCTTCAAAGACGTTTTCAATAATCACACTTAGTAAATTCGAAAAGGTGAATTTATTTGTGTGAGCCTTACGTTATACTTTGACGAACTTGTGGAACTTTTAGTATCATAGGAAGCTAGCAAGTTACTATGGTTTTGTGGAAAAATGACGGTCAATTAGTAAATTCACTTATATTTCAATTAATAGGTTGCAAGTGCAGACCTCACCTATTTCAGTTTGAGGCACTGAATGATTCTCAAACGTACACTTGTTTACTGACTTATATTTAATTAACTTCGGCTATTTCCCTTGTTCTCTTTTGAAAAATTCTCTCTATTGGTTATATATACAAATACATGTGTGTCCAAAGTAACTTTTTCAAATGTTTTATTTTCTCTTTCCCATTGGGAATCTGTAGTGATCAAAACGTATTTTATTGAAAAACGTTTGGATGATAAGCCAGTCGTCAGTTTGCCACCAGTAAGTGAAGTTTTTTTAATCTTTCTCCTCAAATGTTGTTTTAGTTTTACTTTTTACTGTCAGAGTAATCCAGTTTGATGTCATAGATTTTATACCATTTTTTCATTCTTCACACAGCGCTATACTGTATAATCAATCGATAGATAGATTAATTTAATTTGTTACCTTTAATAAAAATTTATATCCTCACCACTAAGCCATAATTTTTGTGTAAGGTATATTGATATTATCCTATTATCTCAACCGAAGTGGGACGAGCTTCTTCGAATATCCAATCTACTAATTGAAGCTTGAGTACTCTAACCACTGAGGCCACAGCTTCTCTATGTAATCATGTCTTAAAGTATGTGTTTATGTGAAAGACAATTTAAACAATCCTAACTTATGCTAGTTAGTTGAAAGTAATCGACCTAGGTTTCATCCAAGTTTACACTTGTCACCAAAGTGTATCTGCAGTTATCTGGAAACCGATCTCACACTGCTAAGGTATCCGGTTCGCAATTGATATTTTGCAGGATTATGATAGACACATTGATCACTGAGTAGTAGCCGTTGTCATTTTTGCCCTTACCGCTGATCGTAGAATCAGACCTAGTATCAGAGCATAGTGCATGTACGGTTCAGTGACTTACACTAGTGTATGTATTGCAATTTGGTCTATAGAATTGAATCTGCACGAACAACTGTACGTTGCTATTCAGTGGTCAGTCAGTGTAATTTTTGAGCTATTGTTAAACTATTCTTGCAACCTCCATCTCAATAACAGAAGTTGAATGTTTTGACTGTTGAACCATAATTGTCCTCATAAAATATATGTTCATGTCATCAGATTGCTGATGGGAAAAATTATTAAATATTTAATTGAAAAAATAATAATTCCAACTAGTCTATGAGTTACGTTATTTTTGTGTTTATTTATAATTCATATAATTACTGATAACACAGGAAATCACATGAGCAATACTTACAAAGTATGATCAATATATTGTAAATAAATTTAAGAGGTAAATATCATGTAATCAATAACATGTCGATAAACACTGTTGTTCATGTATAAATACAACCAAGAAATATTTCTTCCAATTAAGATTTGTGTTACCCATATGAAGAGTCTAATCATCACTAGTTTTTCTTCCAAGCGAGACGTAATGACGCATCATGACAGAATTATATTATTTCCAAAACCACAGTCGGAGAGTTGCGATGATTCGACAAACACCAGTCTTATTGTGTTGTCGTTCATTTCACTGCCGTATATTTATACAGTGACCACCTTTCCATTTCTGTCATTCAATTCCAGCGTCAATAAAATAAAACACAATGTATTAGCCGCTTGGATAAAATGCTAATAATAGTGTGTATCATTGATGAGAAGAATTATGAATATTCACTTACATCTGTCTTTATGACAATATAACACAAAATAATATATTTATGACATGCATCAATTTTTGATCAATTAGTTGGTTAGTAACAGGGATTGTTCGCATAGAATAACCCTACACTATTAGTGACATTATTATTTTCTGGACATAAAACATGCAAGAAGTGATGGGTAGTTTACAGTGAGGAACGCTCTCCAAAAAGATTTTATTTACCGAAAACTATCCTACTCTTAAATTCCTTTTTTATTGTAGGTCTCTTTTTGAATATTTGTCTCATCTACTTCTACAACCTTAACTTTACCATCCATTTGCAACGGTGTTCTCAATATCATTTCCGAGCACACATAAGTGCATCATTGTAACCATTGTAGTAATGTTACCTCAGTTACGTGAGTCGCATCAACTGGATTTAATACATGGGTTCTTATTAATCACTGGATAAATAATTTCATTATTATGAGTCATTAACTGAAGCTCAAGTGGCTGTAAACAAATGTAATCCATGATCCCTTGTAATATCAAAGACATTTGAAATATAATCTAAGTATAATTATTCAATATTTGGTAATTAACTAAATGTAAATACACCAGATTAATTTGCAAATGTTCCCTGTTTCGTTATCTTAATCACTTGTCCTGTCCTAATGTTACTACTTCTTAAAATCCTATTATTTGCAAGCATTTGACGATATCTTGTTACAGTTAATCCATATTACTCTAACTGGAAAATATTACAGAAAATTTGAACGTGTTTTAATGTTACTTATTTTTTTCCAAGTTCAGGTTTCGTGTATTCAGTTTTAAACTACCATTTTGGTATTATAAAACCTACTAATAATTACCTTATTATGTCTAAAACTCTTCAGAGTTCGAAACGGCCATTCATTAGTGAAACAATAAATGAATATATTAACCACCATTGCCACTGATCCATACTTGCCCAACAGTGTTTCTACTTGTAGTTTATGTTTACTCAGTAGAAACGTGCTTATTACGTATAAATGTTTTTCTGTAGTGTTTTTATTGTTTTCACTAAAAAAAATCAAAATGATTTTAGTTAAATAATAATGACTTTTTTAATATTTTTTCCTCCCTTTCCTTGTAGATGCAACTGGAAGTTGGTCCAGTTCAATTACAAAGTGTAAGTTGTTATTTGATGTTTTGTGTATTCAGACTGTATATGTTCATGGTCTTTACGGCATGAAATGAATGGCAATTGATCAGTTATTGATTATGAAACAAGGAACTATTTAATAAATCTTCATTCTCTGTTAAATAATTTGTGAAGCTTATAGTTCAGTCGGTCAGATTAGTTTGTTCTCAGTCGTCAACTTTCAGGTTTTAGCTACTCAAGGTTCACTTCGGTTCGGGTAACCGAACAGTGCCTCTCTTACACACACAAAACAATTAAATATCTCAAAGCCAAGTATGTGGACCAGGTATATATATATATATATATATATATATATATATATATATATATATATATATATATATGGTAGATAGAGCAGATAGACAACCTTGAACGATAGATTTCGCCGACGCGTAATTATTTTATTAGTTGTGAATTTATTACGCTCAAAGAATATCAATTACTGTCAGTACCAGTAAAAGTTCTTAAATCTCCAAATACATCAGTTTCAAGGAGCGTGATTGTAAGGATTTCACAGGTTCGTTCACCTTAATTGCCTTCATCCGATCCTGGGAAATCACTTACCTGATTATGTTATCTGTACACGAGTACGTTATTTGAATATTCGTTCAAATGGTATTATGGAAGATCTCTTATAAGTGAGTTTATCACAATTCAATAGACTATGAAAATTAATTTATTCTTATCATTTTATACTGAATTGTTGTTGCTTTTTTTACATAATGTACGCAGCAGAATATCACTTCATCTCATTTACTTCGAAGTGACTAGATCAAGGAAGACATAGCACTTATTCATGAAATTATTGGTTTACACCCATGAAAAAATTACTTGATTATCAAGTATAGGTTCATGTACCCGGAATTTAGAGAAACACGTTTATCAGAACTAATTCTATTACTACTTCTATTTCGACCCGACTTTTCTCTAAATTGATTTAGGTGAATCAGAGTTCAAACTTGCAGCCTATTTCCTGAAATTTGAATGTTCCAACCACTATGTCATTGCTTAAAGAAATATCAGTTTTATAGATGTGGCGGTTTATGTTAATGCGTTTCTAGATCCTAATGTGAGTATGTATACACGTTAAGTTTTTCCTTTAAAATTTCCACTTTCTGACTCCTTTATTCAATTACTTATAGTGTCCCTTTGTACATGCACTTTATTTGGAATCTTACGTTTATTTAATTGCCAGAACTTTATCAAATGTTTCTGGGAGAAAAATACAAATGTTTTTTCAAACGTTAACAAATTTATACTAGCGTTAACGTAAAACATATCATTAGTTATAACAATAAATTCTTTTTTGTCGAAGCTGTTTACTTTTTAAAAATAATTATCTAGTTCTATTGTGGTTTGCACCTCTTATGTGGATAATTTATAAGTAGTATGTAGTAAGGAAAGGAAGTGGAATATTTACCAGCAGAACGTTGAAATAAGGAGAGCAGGAAGGAAAGTGGAGAGCAATCGAAATAACAACAGGATTAGAAGAATGATACATTATATCAAAGACAAGTGAAAGAAGATATGTAAATGATGTGTTAAATGTATGATTTTCTTAGTTTGTTAAGGCACTGTGATTTCACGTAAAACAATAAATTGGTTTACTGTATCTGAATCTTCGTTCACTAAACTATGTGTCTCGATTTTCCAAAGCCTTTTTTGTTTCATGTTCAGATGAAATTTACCATAAAATACTGTCTCTTTAGTTTTTTTTTTATCTCGTCGGTATTGTTATGACTATAAGTTAATCAACATCTAGAGATGATTCGCCAATTATAATCCCGATTATAACTTCTTTACCTTGCGTGTACTATTTCTTATGTAGACTAGCGTTCTAAGCTTTGATCAATGATACACTTTGACTGGCAAGAGTAACCTAGAGTTAATGCCGATACAATCTTAGCTTCTTCTGGTCAACCAATATGTTCACCTTCAAGTACAAATAAGAGAACACGACAGGCACCTTCAACCACTAAATCATTTTATCCCAAAGAATGATTTATCAGACCGTAATGCACTCCAAATAAAAAATCATACTTTACAATCGTGCCATAAGTGTCAGAGAACGGGACAATAGTTGACTGATTAATTAGCCATAATTAAGGTACAATAGAAATAAATTTTACAAACTGTGGAGCTAATATACAGACTCAAACATACTTTCGAACGGTGTAAACGAAAATTTGCGTCTTTACAATTATTATGTCTCCAGCCTAAACACCTCATTGTTGTACAAATAGATTGCACTGATAATACTATGTACAGAAATAATTTATCTGGATACGTCGGTATGGTTTATCTAAGTACATCGAAATGCATAGATGAAGTTCCTTTTTATTATTCTCTGATTCTTGTCTTGTCACCGACGGTAAAATGTATATGTGTTTGGTAATGCATATATTCATCTCTCTGTTATTCATATTGGAATGAATTGATATAACAAAGATTACTGAGAGCTTATAGTGAGTCGTATATCATTATGATTATGGGAGAGAATCAACAGGAAGCCCTCAGTTTTAATATCCATGCCCCTGGACACTCGTTGGTAAGATATATCATTCTTGAAGGAATTTACACTTCATTTGGAATTCGGAGACGCTTCATCCATCATCATAAAGACGTTGCTGTTTACTTATTCGGTTCATTGCTGTAATCCATGTACCCATATGCAGGGTTTTGTACCCGACTTTAAACCACGCACATAATATATATATATATATATATATATATATTTAGCTACTTAAACAAAACTCTAACTTCTAGGCCGTTATTGTTTACAGATAGGAGGTTTTATTTTTTATAGGTTTACTATTTTTGAGAAATCTTCATAGAACTCTGTTCTCGAGCTGAATAATTTATTTGTACAACTACAATTTTTCTTTTAGACTAATAATGTTTGTGATACTGAAACTGTTACCACAAATAATAACCCATATGAATCACAGAATATTGACACTGTTCTCTCAACAGCGATAACTACTACTATTTCATCAATTACGGGAACTCACAACATTTCTACCTCATATCATTCATTCGTGAATAACAAAAGTACTAATAATGTTGCTAAGAAACCAGATGTCATTACACATAATGATCGAGATGGTAAAAAGCTGGTGGATACCAGTCAACTGTCACAATCGATTTCAACAGTCCTAACAGAACATCGTCTCTCTATGGATAGTAAGAACATAACTGTGCCGCTGACTACTACTACTACTAACACTACCACTATAACTACTTCGTTTTCTATTAGTCGTGGTTCTGATGTGGAAATGTTGCAGGCATTACAAGATTTCGTTCAACCCGATGAAATTTTCATTTTTCCACCAATATCTAGATTAACTTTGAATTTCTTTGTTCCCATGGTTGAGAAAAGTTATCGACGTTTAGGTTTACGACGTCCAAGAATGCATTCTATTGAGAAATTGTCATGGTCCACACCACGTATTGCACCATTTATTAATACAATTACAGAGACAATATTGATTTTTATTATTGCTACAACGTGTTTCATTGTTTTTCCAGATGCTCGAAAAGCAGTAAATACGCCAACTTTTTATATTATTCTATTTATCGCCTTCATGGTACATACACTGTTATTGGCATTGTTAATTTCCGATCTGGCTGCATGGGCCTGGTGTCCAAGGCGTGGTATCAGTAGTAGTAGTAAATCCATGTTGAAAACTCCGAGAAGCCGTTATGACTGGCGACATATAGTGATTCGGCTATATGGGAAGCTATTTCGTTGGAATTCACGCAATGTGATAGGTGTTTTTATTTTGATCCTACCAACATCTGTTGTATTGTCGACGTATTCTTATTGTCTATTCAATAAATACACACCTTTAATAACACTCGATGCGGCATTAAATCATAAAGACGCCTATTATTATTCTCACATGTTCTATGCTACTTATCGTGCACAAATTGGTTTATTGTTCACTTTTATGTTTATCAACTGTACATTATACACGTCCTTTTCTTCTTGGACTAAAACTATTTCAGCTACATTCGTCTGTTCATTGGGCATACTATTGATATCTTTACATAGAACACTTCAGTACACATGCTCGCCACAGCATGTTCAGTCATGGTATTCATTAATAAAATATAGTTTTAATGGTGCAGAAATTGTTGGAGAACGACTAAAAAATCAAAATTCATCATTGTTACTAGATTTTCCTAATTGGTCATATCCAGCCACGTCTGATAATGCAGTGTATGAGTATATTATGATTGGATTGCTTACTTTGATTCTAGTCGGTGCATTGAATCGTGAATTTGATATAAATTTCCGACTAAGTTTTCATCGAGATTATGAAGCTCAACGAGCTAAAGAAGCTATTGGTCATCAAAAATTGCAAGCTGATTGGTTGTTAGAGAACATTATTCCATATTATATAATGGATGATTTACGTCAGCATAATAAATACTCTCGACATATTGAAGATGCTGGTGTAGTTTTCGCATGTATTGCGAATTTCTCTGAGTTTTATGACGAACAATATCAAGGTGGTCAAGAGATGTTACGTGTTATGAATGAAATATTTGCTGATTTTGAGCATCAACTCGCCTTATCAAAATATAAAGACGTCGAGAAAATCAAAACAATTGGCTCATGTTTTATGGCTGCTTCAGGGTTAAATATGACTGAACGTAAACGCAATAAACGATCAGATGAACATTTGTGGGCACTGCTTGATTTTGCTTTGGATTTAATTCATACACTAGATGATTTCAATCGTCAAATGTTCAATTTTCAATTTGAACTAAAAATTGGTTATAATATTGGTGAAGTGACAGCTGGTGTTATAGGAACTACAAAACTATTATATGATATATGGGGTGATACTGTCAATGTGGCTAGTCGTATGTATTCAACAGGTTTAAAAGGTAGAATACAAGTTACTGAGGCTGTTGCTAAACGCCTAGAATCACGTTATATATTTGAATACCGTGGTGAAGTGTTTGTCAAGGGTAAAGGTAATATGAAAACCTACTTATTAGTAAGCCGTCGAAATAGTTAAGACGAAGGGATGATTATCGAGATAATTTCACTGAAATGTATATTGTCTGTTCGTTTGTGTTACTACTGGTACGGGTACTACTCATAACAATTTGGTCAGTTATAACGCCTTCGTTTCTGGTCACTTGATCAATAGAACAATTTAGAAAATTTTAAAAAGTATGGTCTGGATTTTTTACTTAACTGCACAAAAAAAATCCCTTAATGGATCTTTACATATACACATGTTTGTTATATTTCTTCTTCGCTTAATCATAATTTTTCGATAAACATAAGAATACTTTCGAGAAATAATCATATATTCAACATATTAGTTTACACCTGCAATCATCATTTTTCTGTCTTTGCCTTCCTTTATTATCGTCTTTCTACACAGTGATTATTATTGTTATTATCGGTTTGCTTTCATTTTCCTCATTTCAAACAAACTCTCATCTACTGTGCATTTGTCCTAGACATCCATCGTCAATATTCTATTGGTACATTTAGAAATAATAATATAAATGTATTAAATTCTGTGTCTTTACATATATTGGTTAAAATAAAGTGTTAAATTTTTTATGCTTGTGAACTCGGTCAAAATATTAGTTGCGTATTTTATTCTATATTACATTAAGCGCCGGACCAATTGATTGTTATATGTTCCACCTTTAATCAGAATTATGTTTAGTTATCAACCAATTTTGTATTGGAACTATATTCATCCAAATACATGCGTGTATGTGCATATGAACCTTGTGAACGTAAATAACTTGACCTGAAAAATTCAGCTGTTATATTGCATTTTTTTCATGATTATCTAGACTGCTTTTCACTTATTTTGTCCTCTTCATCATGATATTTTAAAAGAAAAAAAGTGGTTATGAAGTTGATAGACATGCATTAATATCTACTAGCCTTTCGTTGTCGTGACTGTTTGTATTGATTCTCTGGAAATATATAAGGTAATCTCTTGTTCAAGCTGAAATCCAATAATCAATTACTTGGTGAAAATTCACATTTATCAGTTCTACGTGTTCTTTTTGTGGTATTATCATTATTGTCTTTACACAACTGAGAGTTATACGTATGATTGCAGACTCGTTCACTTATTGTTTTCAAAATGGTGTTGTTATCTCACGTTCAACTGATCGCTTTTTCTAACGGTTCCTGTCATTCGTTCATGTTAACTACTTTCTGTTTTGTCTTTTCTTTCTAATTCCTTTGTTAAATTTGAGGTGTGATGGCTTCTCTCTATTTACATATTCTCTTCTTTAATTCTTTTTGAATAATGGATATGTTGCATTGTAAAGTAGGGGATATCTTGAGAAAACCGCAAAACAATAGCTGATGATGGCGACAGTCATGATATATATTCCGATTTTGTTTGATCTTATTGTAGTTCTGTCTGAGTTATTATTACTTATTTTAATGTTTAAGATGAATAAACAAGTTTGTTATGGTGATGTACTACTTAGCTATATATATTGAGGCTGAATTACCAGCCTGTTCTTTCACCTTCATAATAAAACATATAATCGAACTCACCACAACTTATTAATAAGGGTTTGTTAAATTCGATGGTCTTGGACTGATAGTAGTTACTAGGGGACAATTGAAAGCCAGAAATTATTCAGCATCCTTTATACATATAAGGTTCAATTTGTTAGAACAAATCTCGCTCACATCAAATATATTACAATGAAAAATTCGATCATAGTTCGCAGTGGAAAATTGAAAGAAGAAAGATATTTCCAATCGTTCACCCATTAATATCAACCTATTAGAGGAGATTAATATAATTTAACGATTCACCATAAACAATTGTTCTTATTTTATCAGCTAATTAATTTTATAGTTATGACGTATTTGTTGTAGCGTGGATCTTAACTCATTTGACATAACCTAAAAGAATTCATATTGTATTCAGGACATAATTAGACATTGAACCAAGGCAACCAATTGATTAACTTTCTTTCGGCGGTAAACGTCCTACCAATAACCGTCTCAGATTGCTATTCAGAACCTAACATTATTTTTATAATTTCTTTGTCAAGTAAACAAATTGAAATAAGTGTTAACTCACACTTCAGTGAACGAGGATTCAAGAGTGGAGAAGTGTCTCATTGTTCAACACAAAATTACAGAGTGCGTTCATAACATATGAAAATCACATTAAAAACGTTATTCGGACATCTTTCTTCTCTTGTTCTTAACATGATCCATGGTTCTTCAAATTCTGTCGTTACAAATTCTCACCGCTTCTCTTCCTAATCTCTTCAAATCAATCTTCTCATTCTTTGTCTGCCGGGCATTCCCTTTCTGAATGGTGTTACTTACTTACTTACTTACGCCTGTTACTCCCAATGGAGCATAGGCCGCCGACCAGCTTTCTCCAACCCACTCTGTCCTGGGCCTTCCTTTCTAGTTCTTTCCAGTTCTTGTTCATTCTTCTCATGTGTGTCTCTATTTCTCGGCGTAATGTGTTCTTTGGTCTTTCTCTTCTCCTTTGACCTTCAGGATTCCATGTGAGGGCTTGTCTTGTGACACAATTGGGTGATTTCCTCATTGTGTGTCCTATCCACTTCCAGCACTTCTTCCTGATTTATTCCTCCTCTGGAATCTGGTTTGTTCTCTCCTACAGTAGCTTGTCTCCGATAGTGTCTGGCCAACGGATCCGAAGTATCTTGCGTAGACAACTGTTACTAAACACTTGTATCTTCTGGATGATGGCTTTCGTAGTTCTTCAAGTTTCTGCCCCATGCAGTAGAACTGTCTTGACATTTGTATTGAAAATTTTGACCTTCGTGTTGATTGACAGTTGTTTTGAGTTCCAGATATTCTTCAGTTGTAAATATGCTGCTCTTGCTTTGCCAGTCCTCACCTTCACATCTACATCAGATCCACCGTGCTCATCAATGATGCTGCCCAGATATTTAAAGGTTTTTACATCCTCCAAAACCCCGTCAAGTGTGATTCGATTGGTGCATGTTGTGTTGTATCGGAAAGTCTTGCTTTTCCCTTTGTGTATATTGAGACCTACTGCTGGTTAGGCTGCTGCTACACTGGTCATCTTCTCCTGCATTTGTTGTTGCGTGTGTGATAGAAGAGCCAGATCATCTGCGAAGTCTAGATCGTTCAGCTGCATCCTAGTTTCTCCTTGTATCCCGTGCTTCCCTCAAGATGTCGACGTCTTCATAATCCAGTCGATCACCAGGAGAAAGAGAAAGGGTGAGAGTAGGCAACCTTGCCTAACACCGGTCTTTACCTCGAACGAGTCGGTGAGTTGTCCTCCGTGGACGATTTGGCAGTTTAGTCCATCATAGGAGTTCCGTATGATGTTGACTATCTTCTCAGGCACGCCGTAGTGTCGAAGAAGCTTCCATAGTGTCGTCCTGTCCACGCTATCAAATGCTTTCTCGTAGTCGATGAAGTTGATGTACAGTGATGAATTCCATTCGATTGATTGTTCCACAATGATACGCAGAGTTGCGATTTGATCTGTGCACGATCTATCTTTACGAAATCCAGCTTGATGATCTCGAAGTTGAGCGTCCACAGAATCCTTCATCCTGTTTAACAATACTCTGTTGAAGACTTTTCCTGGTATTGAGAGGAGAGTGATGCCCCTGTAGTTGTCGCACTTGCTCAGATCGCCTTTCTTTGGTATTTTGATGAGAAGTCCTTCTTTCCAGTCTGTTGGTACATGTTCTTCGTCCCAAATCTTACCGAAGAGGATGTGGAGTATCTTGGCAGTTGCTGTTACATTTGCTTTCAGTGCCTCTGCCGGGATGTTGTCTGGTCCCGCTGCTTTGCCACTCTTGATTTGTCTAATGGCCATGTTGATCTCTTCAATTGTTGGTGGGCCAATATCGATTGGGAGGTCCGTGGGTGCTGCTTCGATGTTGGGTGGGTTCAGTGGAGCTGGTCGATTCAAGAGTTCTTTAAAGTGTTCTACCCACCTGTTTCGTTGTTCTTCAATATCGTTGATTACTTTGCCTTCCTTGTTTTTCACTGGTCTTTCTGGTTGACGGTAATTTCCGGCAAGTTTCTTTGTTGTATCATACAGTTGTCTCATGTTTCCCTCTCTTGCAGCCTTTTCCGCTGTCATCGCTAAATCTTCCACATATTTACGTTTGTCGGTCCTGATGCTCCTCTTCACTTGCTTGTTTGCCTCTGTGTATTCGGCTTGTGCCTTGGCTTTTTCTGCTCTTGTTCGGCTGATATTGATTGCTACCTTCTTGTTCCTCCTTGCTTCAATTTTATCCAGTGTACCAACAGTGATCCATTCCTTGTGATGGTGCTTCTTTTGGCCCAGAACCTCCTGACATGTTGAAACGATTGCCTCCTTGATACCTTTCCAGCTGCTCTCTATGGTGGTTCCCTCTCCATTGAGTAGGTCATGAAAGGCCTCGAACCTGTTGCTGAGGGCTATGTTGAATTTGTTGAGTTTGTCAGCATCTCGAAGAAAGGCCGTGTTAAACTTTTGTGATGTTGTCCGCACCATTGTCCAGTGCTTCTTGAGTTTTAGTTTCATCTTAGCGACCAGCAAATGGTGATCGGATGCTATATCAGCTCCTCTTCTGGTTCTCACATCCTCCATCGTCCTCCTGAACATTTTGTTGATGCAGACATGGTCGATTTGATTTTGTGTAGTGTGATCCGGTGAAATCCAAGTGGCTTTGTGTATGTTTTTGTGTGGGAATATGGTGCCACCTATGACCAGTTTATTGAAGGCACATAGGTTTGCAAATCGCTCACCATTTTCGTTTCTTTCCTCCCAGTCCATGTTGTCCCATGACGTCTTCGTATCCAGTGTTGTCATTTCAAACCTTGGCATTGAAATCTCCCATTAGAATGGTCAGATCCTTGGTTGGGCACTTCTCGAAGATTGACTGCAGCCTATCGTAGAATTGGTTTTTAGCGTCTTCATCGTAGTCGTTGGTCGGCGCATAGCATTGGATGATGTTCATTGTAATGCCCTCTCTCTTTGTTCTGAAGGAGGCTTTGATGATCCTCGGTCCATGAGATTCTCATCCTATAAGTGCATTTTGTGCTTTTCTAGACAGCATCAGTGCCACTCCTTGTGTATGTGGGGCATTTTCTTCTTCATGGCCGGAGTATAACAGAAGTTCCCCTGAAGACAGTCGTTGTTGTCCAACCTGCGTCCAATGTGTTTCACTGATTCCAAGCACTTCCAGGTTGTATTTCCTCATTTCCGCAGAAATTTGGAAGACTCTGCCGGTCTCCCACATTGTCCGGACATTCCATGTACCTATAAAAATTGTCGCTCTGGTTGTAAGAAGGTGCATCGGCCTCATGACTTCCGAATGAACTCGGCTTTCATCATGAGACGTCATTATTCCTTCTACTCCCAGGGCAGAGTTTGAATGGTTTGAATGATTTTTTCTGGTTAGCGTTTTTTAGCGAGTTGATTTTCTACGGGATGGGGTCGCTAACCCCATGCCCAACCCTCCTCCTTTACCCGGGCTTGGGACCGGCAGTAGCCCCTTGAGGAGCTACAGGCGGAGTTTGAATGGTGTTACATAGTACTTATATCCGTCAACATAAGGAGCCTACAGGACAATGCTTCTTCAAATGTGGTTTCATTGCCCGATTTTCATTCAAATTGACGACCACATAGGTATCCATACAGTTAGGTAGAGAATTAATAATAAACATTTATTTTGTGATATACCAATGAATAGGGAAATTGTATTTCTGGTGTTTCGTGAATTAGTGTAAGCCACCTCTTCACAGTAAACAAATAACCAACATTAAATCAACACAAGTTCAAATAGTACAAACGAAACAATGCGTAATATTTTTAGTACTATCAAAATCATAATAGGTCTGAATATGTCAATGTCAAGTTATTCTTGGTCAAGGTGGCTTTGTATGACCTGTCATTATTAATTTAAGTCAGAATGTGCGTATGAAAAGTGTATGCATTTGTAATATGAAGTAGTAGGGTTGAGACTATGTGTCCGTATGTGTGTGTAAAACTAAAGTCGAATGTGGTTGTCTGGAAGAATAAAGTCCAGTTTGTATGAATATTCAGGCCTTTCCTATTGAGGATAGAGGGGTTTAGCATTATGTTAATCGCTTCGATCACTCGCCTCTCTTCGTAGTTGGGAAAACCCTTCTGAATTATTTTTATATTTTTAATATCGATTTGGTGATTATTGAGAAAGCATGTAACTTGTAAATTATCCAATTCTGCACGATTACTAGTAGGGCTTTTTTGTAACTTAAATGTTCTTTGGCACGAGCCGAGAGCCCACAGGAATACTATCTAATGTAAAACGTATCATAATCAACACAACCTAATCTGTAGACACAATTTTGAATGGAAGTGAAGGGAATTTCAACTTTTATTTTAACTAAAGCGTTTCCGGAAGTGTTATTCGTCTTATATAAAGCTTTAATCTCGTAAGTTTTAATTATATCTGTTGTAATTCTTCTGTTGTACCTCAGCGGTAAGGTACGGTACCAGTTCGAAGGATTTTATTAGGATTGTTATTTTTCGAAGGACAATGAATATACCACAGGTATTGTAGTTTGACAACACTTCAGCCATTCACGCCTATAATCCAATCGTGCGTACCTAATGAAATCAAAAGTCAGAAGCGAGGAGGTTGGAAGATATACTTTGTAGATTATCAATATATCGAGAAGTGACTTATCTAAACTGGCAAGTGATCGCAGGAGACAATGAGCACGCCATCCCAACTCGTGATCTGATGCGGATGCATGACCGAGTGCCTTCAGCTAGGTCAGTTCATTGAAATTAATGTGGTCAGCATCCAATGTCGAACACTTACAGAGCTATTGATTTTAGAGATTAGGACGTGGCCAGCCAGAAGTTTAAACCCAACGAGTTTCTCGTTGGTGAATACTCTTCTGATAGCTTGCCATGTTTAGCAGCGTC